GCTTCCTGTTGGTGTTGTGCCTGTGCAGTCCTGACATTGTGGCCACTGGTAGCTGGGCCCGCACAGGATGGGGTGTGATACAGTGCACTGAGTAGCTTCCCTTCCTTCCTGCCTGCTACAATGAGCTGTTGCTGTCATGGTGTCGCCAGGAGGTGAGTCCATCCTGGCTGTGTGGAGGTGGGGGGCGGGGGGCAGCCTACCCCAACTATCCCAGTGCAGCACACCAGCTAAAAAGGCTGCACTATGGCTGTGTAGGTGCTCAGGCTGAATAAAATGAACTGAGCAGGCACATAACATGAGGCAAGTTCTCAAACTAGCCCTAGAAAAATCAATGGTCATTCTAACGCTGGTCAGAATGTCTGACAGGCTCACACAGAATGTCTCCTGTTGTGTCAGTAGATGTGCCGCTTCCCTGAGGCCAGATCTGAGATGCCGCAGAAGGATTACCAAGACTCCTCTAGTTCTCTGACTATTACCCCATGCTGCTCATCCATGTGGGAACCAATGCTACTGCCCAGGTCGACCCTGAGAAGATCAAAAGTGACTATAGACCTCTGGGTGCACGGGTGAAAGGGTTGGGAGCTCAGGTGGTGTTCTTAATCCTTCCAGTCAAGGGGAAGGGCTCTGGCAGAAGTGGATGCATCCTGCAGACCAATGCATGCCTGTGCAGATGGTGTTGTCAACTGGGCTTTGGCTTCTTTCACCATGGGACATTATTCCAAGAAGAAAGATTGCTAGGAAGAGATGGGATCTACCTGATGAAGAGAGGGAAAAGCATCTTTGCAGACAGGCTTACTAACCTACTGAGGAGGGCTTTAAACTAGGTTTGCTGGGACATGGAGACCAAAGCCCTGGGGTAAGTGGGGAAGTGGGTGACCTGGACAAAGAGCAAGCAGGTGGTAGAAACAAGGGAGTCTTTCTCATTCTTCCTGAGAAATAGGGCAATTATGTAGTTATCTTAGGTATATGTACATGAAAGCACGGAGCCTGGGAAACAAGCAGGAAGAATTGGAAGTCCTTGCACAGTCACAGAGACTTGGTGGGAGCTCACATGACTGGAGCACAGTCATGGATAAGTATAAACTATTCAGGAAGGACAGGCAGGGCAGAAGAGGAGGAGGAGTTGCACATTATGTGAAAGAGCTGTATGATTACTCAGAGCTCCAGTATGAAATGGGAGATAGGCCTGTTGAAAGTCTTATGGATAGGGTCAGAGGCCAACCAGGAGCTCTGCTCTTCTTGACCTGCTGCTCACAAACAGGGAAGAATTGGTGAGGAATGTAGTAGTGGATGGCAACTTGGGCTGCAGCAACCATGAGATGATTGAGTTTAGGATTCTGAGGAAAGGAAGGAAGGAGAGCAGGACAGTAAGGACCCTGGACTTCAGAAAAGCAGTCTTTAACTCATTCAGGGAACTGATGGGCGGATCCCCTGGGAGGCCCATCTGAGGGGAGGAGTCTAGGAGAGTTGGTTGCCATTTAAATAAACCTCCTGGAGGGTGCAGGAACAAATCATCTTGATGTGCAAGAAGACCAGTAAGTGTGGCAGAAGACCAGCTTGGCTTAGCAGGGAAATCTTCAGTGAGCTAAAACACAAGAAGGAAGCTTACAAGAAGTAGAAACATGGAACTATGACTATGGAGAAGTATAAGAGTCAGGAAGGCTAAAATGCAATTGGAGTTCCAGCTAGCAAGGGACATGAAGGGTAACAAGAAGGGTTTCTACAAGTATGTTAGCAACAAGAGGAAGATCGGGTAAAGCGTGCACCCCTTACTGAATGTGGGGGGAAACCTAGTGACAGAGGATGTAGAAAAAGCTCAAGTACTCCATGGCTTTTTCACCTCAGTCTTCATGGGCAAGCTCAGCTTCCAGACCACTGAACCTGGCAGAACAGTTTGGGGGGGAGGTGAGCAGCCAACAATGGCAGAAAAACAGGTTAGGGAATATTTAGAAAAGCTGGACTTGTACAAGTCCATGGGACCAGATGGGAAGCACCCCAGGATGCTGAGGGAGTTGGCCGATGCGATTGCAGAGCCACTGGTGATCATCTTTGAAAACTCACAGTGATCAGAAGAGGTGCCAGATGATTGAAAAAGGACAAATATAGTGCTCATCTTTAAGATAGGGAAGAAAGAGGATCCAGGGAACTACAGACCGGTTGGCCTCACCTCAGTCCCTGGAAAACTCATGGAGCAGATCCTCAAGGAATCCATTTCTAAGCGCTTGGAGGAGAAGAAGGTAATTAGGAACAGTCAGCATGGATTCTTTAAGGGCAAGTCATGCTTGACCAACCTGATTGCCTTCTGTGATGAGATAACTGGCTCTGTGGATGTGGGGAAACCAGTGGATGTGATACACCTTGACTTTAGCAGGGCTTTTGATATGGTCTCCCACAACACTCTCACAAGCAAACTTGGACATACAGGTTGGATGAATGGACTGTAAGGTGGATAGAAAACTGGCTGGATCACTGGGCTCAGAGGGTAGTTGGGTCAATGTCTAGTTGGCAGCTGGTATCAAGTGGAGCCCCCCAGGGGTTGGTCCTGGGGCAATTTTGTTCAGTATCTTCATCAACAAGTTGGAAGCTAGGATGGAGTTGTTGGACTAACCTAGTGCACCCTCAGCAAATTTGCAGATGACACCAAGATGGGGGAAGTAGTAGATACACTCGAGGGTAGGGCTAGGATTCAGAGAGACCTAGACAATTTGGAGGATTGGACTGAAAGACATCTCCTGAAATGCAAAGTCCTGGACGTAGGACGGAAAAGTCCCATGCACCAGTACAGGCTGGGGATCAACTGGCTAAGCAGCAGCTTTGCAGAAAAGGACCTGGGAGTTACAGTGGACAATAAACTGAATATGAGTCAATGGTGTGCCCTTGTTGCCAAGAAGGCTAATGGCAGTCTGGGCTGCATTGGTAGATGCGTTGCCAGCAGATTGAAGGAATTGATTTTTCCCCTCTATTCAGCACCGGTGAGGCCACAAGTGGAGTGCTTTGTCCAGATTTGGGTTGTCTCCCCCCCCGCCAAAAGGATGTAGACAAATTGGAGAGAGACAAGCATAGGGCAACAAAAATGGTTAGGGGGATGGGGTACATGACTTCTGAGGAGAGGCTGAGGGAATTAGGCTTATTTAGTTTGGATAAGAGATGACTGAGGGTGGATGTAATAGTAGTCTTTAACTACCTGAAGCAGGGTTCCAAAGAGGAGATGGCGCTAGACTGTTTTGAATGGTAGCAGATGACAGAACAAGGTCTGCAAGGTTGCAGCAAGGGAAGTTTAGGTTAGGTATGGGGAAAAACTTTCTCACTGGGAGGGTAGTAAAACACTGGAAGAGGTTACCCAGAGACGTGGTGGAATCTCCATCCTTGGAGGTTTTTAAGACCTGGCTAGACAAAGCCTTGGTTGGGAATATATAGCTGGGTATGGTCCTACTTTGAGCAGGGGGTTGGACTAGATGACCTCCTGAGGCCCCTTCAACCGTAATTTCCTATGATTCTATGATTCGAAAGCCCCACCCTTTCCTGTCATGTGGCTCCCCAGCCACACATAGGGATTTCCACTTCATGTTGATGGCCAGCTTGCCCTCCTCTGCTGCTTCAGCCAGCTGCTTGCTGCAGCAACCAGCTTCTAGCCTCTCTTAAAGTGGTAGTGGCCAAGGCCCTTCTTACAACCTATTTTGCAGACTATTGGAAAAGATTCCATACGTCGATGATGTGGGGGGGGGGAATAGTCTGTGCAGGTATATTTCTACTGTTTTTAAAAACTATGAAAAATTAATCTTTCTATTCTTTTCTATTATCTTTGGGATTTTAGGGACATAATGATATTTTGAGGTTTTTTCCAAAGCAGGAAATGTGAAGAGCAATGGCATACAGCCATTTAAACACTATTTATATCAGTGGAGGGTAGAACTAAAAAATGAGGTTTCTACATTTATGCCCTCCCAAATACATCATGGAAATTAGAGTCTTCCATTAAGCACCAGGTTAGCTGTTGGAAAAAAAGCCTTGTTCACTTTCTCCCCTAGTTTTGGTGGTTTGTAGCAAGCAGCACAGAATAAAGAACCTGAATCCTGACACCAATTACTGGGATATCCCATTATGATCTTCCTCTTAAATTTTGTTTTCATGTATTTAAAAAAAAGAAGACAGACCAACCAGGGAATTTAAAATTACTCAGCCTAACTTCAAAACCTGCAAAGATACTAGAATAATTGTTTAGTGATTAATCCCTAAGCACCTAAAGGATAATACAGTGAAAAAATAGCCCAACTGGATGTGTCAAGGACAAACCATGTCACACTAATCTAATTCCTTTCTTTGACAGGTAAGAACCCTAGAGAAAAAGGGCAAAACAATGGATGTAATATGCATCAATTTTAATAAGGCTTTTGATATTGTTGCTTAGGACATTCTCTCGAACTAGCTAAAGAAGTATGGTGTAAATGAAATTCCCATGAGGTGATGGTGATATACAGCTGCTTAAAAACTATACTAAAAATCATAATCAATGCTTTCCTGTCGAACTGATTGTCTAATGTAAGGCCTAAGGTTTAGAGTACTGGTGTGAGACAGGCTTTTTTCCCTAGCTCTATTATTAATTAGGCTGCCATATAACATTCCATGACTCCATTCATTTCAGTGTCTCAGTAGCCTTACCTACAAAATGGGTTTTATGATACTGACCCCACTTTTGCAAAGCACTTCCAGATCAAAATGCTGAGTATACTTTTTATTTACATAGAGTTTTTTTCTATTTAATTATTTTCAGTAAGGATTGACATCATACTCTCTGGATAATAATTACCAAGATCATTTTCCTTTTATTTTTGAGCAGTTCTGCATGTACTGTTCCTTGAGTCTTTCCATAACTCCCTATTTTCAAGGATCCATGTATTATTAAATTGGCCAACTTTTTCTTTTTCCTCAAGTGGCTATTCAATATTTGTGGTAAGAGGTATTCAGTTTCTTCTGTTTTAATCATTTAGAATTTGTTTCAGGTAATAATTGGATTCTCCAAATCTTGAATGACTTGGTTACAGCAGATCTAAAGAAAAATAAAGAAGCACTGGAAGAGAGAGTAAAACATGAAGAAAAAGGAGACTATACATTTCTTGAATTTGGAGATCCAGGAAAATTTGAGGTTGATATAAAATAATTAAAATTCTAAATTTTCCAATTGATATCCCTAACAGTTAGAAAATAGAGAGTGGTGCATGCTCCATTGCCAGGAAATGATTTGGGATAAGTATAATGAATCCTGTTTAGCTAGAATAAATGGACCATACTGAGATTGAATATTAGTGGAAACAAATATTTATAAATGATCAATGAAAAGTTCTATGTAAGGTATAAATCAATTTCAAATACATAGATACTCACAAGTTCAAAAACATGACTTTGTATATGGCATAGACAGGTACTTCACAAGCAGTATATTCTATTTCTACTGAAATAGTTTTCCCTCCCAGAACAGAGTTGCTGGTGGAGGGAGGTGTGATAGAGCCTGGAGAGATGTTGAGAGAACAGAAGGTGGTGGTACTTTATGCCACCAGTGTCAAGGGAGACTGGTACAAACGTGTGAGGACTCCAGTTGCCTTAAAGCAGGGGCATTGTACTCCATTGGTCCCACAGGCTGGATCCAGCCCCATTTCTGGTAGCAGAGGGGGAAATTGCAATGGTGTTATTTCCACAGGTTATTGTGCTGTGGGGATTAACACACCCATCACTCACCTCTCCACCACCAACATGCATTCCTATGATGCTCCATATGTTGGAATTGGGCAGTGAACCCCACTCCTGAATTCCCTGCCTTTCCAGGAGCCCTGTGGGCTGGATGATCTGACCCCACAGGCTATGTCTTTGACATCCCTGCATTAATGTATTGCTGAATTTAAAGAAAATAATCTTGTTTTGTTCTGAAAAGGCTTATTGCTATAATACAAGGGCAGAATAGAAAACTTAGAAATCAAGTGATTAATTACACAGGAAGAAACTTTAATATCAGTTGAAACTTGGTTGAATCTTTGACTGCTTAACAGCTAGAAGCTCTCAGTGACTTCAGTGGGGCAGATTTCCACTTACAAAATTCACCACCAGCACCACAGTATCACTGCCAATAATCTGTGTAGAGGGGACAAGGCTGGAACTGTAGCACCCTGCCACCAACAGAGATGTCCCCAAGAGCTCAGGGGTGACATACAGTTAGTGGGAAAAAAGTGGGAAAAAAGTGTCCCAATAGGGTCAGTGCACTGTAAATACATGTTCTAGTTTATTTTGCAACAACTTACCTTTTAGAAGAGTTACCTTTTAGAAGAGTTTTGGCAACCCATCTTCTTCCTGGATGTCTACCAACATCTATTTTCAAGAATAATGCCAAGGTTCATGTGCATTTTGAAATATTACAGTCAGTATTAGAGGTGCTTGAAAGTAAGAGTTTATTTTACACATGTACCAATTCTTTGAGTGTGCCAGTTAGTTATGCACAGACTTATTTTTTTTACAGTTTTGTTATTTGAAATGTTTCAGTGAATGTTGTGCATGGATACTTTTCAGCCTATGGGCAGCTTGAAAACTATTTGCTAACTTTTAGAAAAATTGGTTTTTGTCCTTCTAGATATTGATGCTGACTAGAAATCCAAAGGATGTGGCTGTATCTTATTTTCACTTTAGTAATGGAATGCCTCTGCTTCCTTCTTTTAAAACCCGGGATGAGTTCTTCAGTGCTTTTATGTGTGGAGAAGGTACCATACACTTCTTTTACTTCTTCTGTTAAAATAAGGATGAAACATTCAAGTGTTTGAATTGCACCCCCTTTTCAAAATCCTAGATCCTCCCTTGCTGGTGCCCCCCTCTAAGTCAGCACCCAGGGCTGGTGTCCCACTCACTCCATCCTAGTTACACTACTGCATTTGAAGGCTTTTCTTTCCACTCATCCACATTGGTAGCAAAGGTGTTGACTCTACATACAATGAGCTGGATTGTCCTATTCAACACACCTCAAGAAGAAATGAGGGACGCTGAAGAAAGGACAAGTAGTAACTCTTACACACACACACACACACACACACACACACAGAGTCCCCTTGAACCATTAGATCAGGATTATGCCCAACAGCAGTTTTTTTTGTGGTTGGCTAGTGCTGCCTGTGATTGGGCCATATTCTCTTGTGTGGGTAGGGAGATTCAGGATAGGGAAGACACATACCCACTGCCACTGAAATTTCCGTGATGGTTGCTCTGATGCCCTGTGGGCAAGAGACATGTTTATCAGCTTTGAAGCGTGGAGTAGCAACTCTTCTGTCCCTATATTCTAAGAGGCATTGTGTCTGCCACAGCTGCAGGCGTACATTCATAATGCATCTCACCTGCCTATGGCCTAGGTTTAAAACCACAGAGCCTACAACAGCATTCACTAAATGCCTATTACTTATGAATGGACTGAACTGCAGCTTCCATAATGTGTAAAAAAGAGCTGATTTTAATCATTCCACTGTGCCATGGAAAGAAAATGTGCTACCATGTGTCAGCTCTGGTTTATTCAAGCAGACATTGTCCTTTTTCCCATTGTCCTTTGTTCATATATTACCACATTCAAAAGCACAAAATGATAATTTAAACCTTTGCTTCTTCCAGTGGTCTGGGGCTCCTATTTCGACTACATGATTGAATGGAACAAACATATCAACAATAAAAATATTATGTGTACCACTTATGAAGAACTAAAAGAGGTGAGGTTAACTATGTAAAGGGTGCTTTACTTTACATTTCAGATTACATTTATTACTAAAATATTCAGACCTTATATTTGTCCCTTTTGAATTAACCTTAAGATGCCAAAGATGTATACAGTAGAAGAAAAGAAATTTAGAAAAGCTAAGGGAAGGTTTTCAAAGGTACAGGTATTCCCACTGAAAGTTCAAGGAGCAGAGGCTTAGCTGTCATTTGTGCCTTGGAAAAATCTCACCCTAGATCTAATATCACTGTCTGAGTAAGACTCCTTTTGAAGTTGATTAGTTCATTCCTGTGTGAAAATGCATTGAGCAGTTTAGACAGTTTTCCTAAAATGGCTTCTGTAGCTAAGTGATTCTCAACCAGGGTACTACAGCACCCTGAATACCTTGAGAGCCTTTCAAGGGTGCTACGTAGTGTTAGCATCAAGATTCACAAGATAAGCCCAGAGGTTTCAAAAAGGAATCCACAATGTTAAAAACATTCTGACCAGTTGTGATTTTTCTGAGTTCTTTGCGACAGAAGAATTGCTCTATTATTTTTCTGTAATAAAAAACAGTGACAATTTAAGAGCTGACATTTTCTGAGGGGTTCCATGAGTCTCTCGAGGAGGGCCTCAAGTCTAAAAAGGTTGAGAACCACTGTTCTAGCTCAACACAAGGCTAGTTATCTGTGAAGAAACATTGGTTGAAATGCTATGGCCTGTGTTATGCATGGAGTAAGACAAGATGATTGAATAGTCCCTCCTGACCTGTATGAATTTCTGCTGAGTAAATATACAGAAAACAATTAATACTAGGAATAGATTGACTCTGAGATGTATTTTTTCACACTATAAACTCTGTTTCATCAACAGTGAGGCAAACAGAGAAAAGGCACAAAGAGATTTAGCTATATTTTAAGGCTCCATCCTCCAAACATGCAAGTATATTATTTACCTATGCAAATAATCTCAGTTGAATGGGGATTGCCCACATACATAAAGTTCCTTGTGAAGGGGGAGTGCTGGGTCCCCTAGCTGGTATCTAGTTCCAAACTCCCATCTCTTGCCTGAGGGTGGATACTCTTTCTACAGCCCTGAAGGGGAGGGCAGAGATTTACCCAGAAATCACTTCAAAACCTTTATCAAGTACAGAGCTTTTTATTAGCGAACTGCCCTACTGTGCACCAGTCCCTAACCTGGGTATCTCCTGTTCTCTGATCCTCACATGCATTGCAGTGCAGGCAGAGGGTGACCATGTGTGGAGGCTACTATCTGTACTTGTTCCATAATTATGAGCTCAGGTTCAACCTGCTGTGTCCTTCCAACAGCAGCAGCTGTG